GAAGGATGCAATGGTAATTTCCTCATCTCAAACAATTTATTGGCACAATAGTTAACAGTGGGTAAACGACTGTCAGAGATGTTTACTCGGACAGTTGAACAAACAGACTCAGGAAGAGATTGTCTTTTCTGCCGGCAGGAGGCGCAGGTTTCTACGAAGCCACTCCGTGCACTTACCAACTGACACCCAACCTCTGCAGCCTCTGCCAGCTTTTTATTGATCGTGTACGCAAATTACAAGTGATATATCAGAAAACCCCTCCCTTATTCATTCACATGTCATGCCTCTAAGTCCAGCCCACCGATATGCCCCTCAGAGGCCAGAACATCTCTCAGTACAAACAATGGATACCTTGTTACTTCAATGGGTAGATTTCGCAAACTGAAGACATCTTATCATGCTGCCCTCCCGAAGTTGAACCTTCCTGTCGACATTATCAGTTAATGAGGACTTTTTTTCTGTGTGCTCCATTGTGTACAAGTTGTGAGAACATACCGTTCGAGGTCAATCAAGCATGTACTGAAATGAAACTTTGAAACACAATAATATTAAGTTTGTCTTTCTCCATCAACTACTATGTTGTATTCATTTTGCAAATGACGCTTGTGTGAGTGGCCGTTTTCTGAAATGCCCAAGACACACAAAAAGCGGTGTTTCCCGAGTAATCGATGAAATAATAGGTCGGATGAACAAAGCTATTTTGTATTTAATGATCAGACAAATTAACAATTTTCAGTGGCACCACAAATGATGTACAGTAGTAGTGAAGTTAGTGTGTACCAACTGGATACAACATCGGGTTACTTGGCATCAAAGCAATGGATCCTCAGTACTGTACAGTTGAGCTTGGATGCTACAGAGTGTGTTGCTGCGCTAACTTGACAACTATCACACCAAACTTAAGTACGGCAGAATCTCGGCTCACAAACTTCATGTTCTGCAACCGTAAGCTCAAACCAAATGTTAAAAAATGAATATGAATACAATTGTCTAGCTTTCATCTGTTGCAGACCAAGAAACCACGGCCGGCGCAAACACATGGCAACAAGCAGTCAGTGGGGCCCGGCCCAATGCATTAGGGGCAAGGTGTTACATGCTGCAGAAGAAACAATTTAAACAATGCATGGCGGCAGGGCTTCCTTAACATGAGCCATAATAAAGGTAGTTATGAACAAAAACGTGCATCTGCGTGAGACACGTTCGGCTGTTTTCAAACAGAAGCAGTTTGTAAACAAAAGCAATATTTGTCTTAAAAATGGCATTTGTCATCCAAGTCCCCGCTTGTACTCCCTGCATGATAAATAAGTAGTTAAACAAAAAACAGATGGATACTTGGACACGCAAGTTTCCAGAGCAAGGATGGAAGACTAGGATGCTGACGCCAAAACTACCATACTCGGACATCATCTTCAGGAAGATAATGTTAATGCACTCAAATATATCAAAAAGAAAAAAGCCTTGATCACACCAGTGGAATTGCCACAATGATATAACGTCACACAGTTTGGGGGCAGATGCAGCTAGGGTACATCAGATTCAAAAGTAAAGGCTGTTTGCGGCGGGCACAAAGACAAGCTTAACGCCACAAAAAGATGGAATACATGCTAAAGAATAGTAGTCGGGATGCATAACATTTATCAGACCGATAATTTTATCAGCCAGATATTGAAAACAATGATGTCACTTTTATCAGTTTTCAAAATTGAAAATTAAGGCTAACATTTTCACAGGTGCACTGTCCCATTCACTTGAATGAGAGCCGCAGCCGAGGCATCCTTCGGCGAAACCGGGTCAACACCTGACTGACAATGACGCAAGGGAACCTGGCGTGTTTGACTGTGAACTTGCCTAGCTGTTCATTTTGGATACAGACGATTAGGGCTTTGATGGATTTGAGGAAGATTGATCAAAAAAAAAAAAATAATGTCCACACATTGTTAAAAACTTGAATAAAGTACAACCAAATTCAGTTTTGCTCCCGCTGCCTTTTAAAAAACTTACACTAGCGTGCATGCATGCTACCGTATTTTTTTTAAGCTAGCATACGTTTTACCCTATCTGTATCCATTAATACAATGTGTCATGTATATGTTAAATATAGAAATAGCACCCTTAACTGACATACCTAATACGGTGTGCTGTACAGTCGTGAAAATACAGCATTTCATCGCTTTTGTTTTGACATATTAAATATATATAAAACAGTAGTTGGAGTGTTAAAACTTTATGAACAGGTACTATAGCCATAAAGAGTTTTTGAGTTTGCTCATAGCCTCACCATCTGAAGCGGCAAGAGTTCAGATTGTAGCAAAACATGCAACTGTACAATGTCGCTGACCACTATTATATAACACCCTCGAAACCCACTACATTACGAAGTGGGACTGAAAGGTTTTATTCTTTTAAAAATAAGAATAATCGGTTATCGTATCGGCCATACAGCGCAGGAAATTAGCTGTTATCTGTATCGACTGTAATTTCTCATAGCGTGCGTGTGTCACTTGTAAGTAGAAGACATGGGTCCCAAACCCCAGTGCTAGACTGGCCCCAGGACTAAATTATTAAAGACTGGAGTATCCATAAGCTCTTCCCTTAACCGTTCTGTTAAGATTCGTGGAGCAATAACACGAACTTCTTTGTAATTTAAATCAGCTTTACGGATGTTATTTGTGCACCTTTTACCACTCCAATCTCGTTTATAATTTGCAGTAAAAATAACCACCTATGAATCATTTTCACAGTCTGAGGTGATGGCACCGTCCCACCCCAGCGCTGTGCACGAGGCATGGCCGGCTGGCTCCTGTGCCCACGTAGTGTTGTGCGATCATATTATGATGATTCACAGTATTAAAAGAAACTGTGTATCCTGCCATATAACCCTACCATTTTTATACTGCTTAATGTATTATCTTCCAAATCTTTGTTTTTATTAGCCCTATTTACAGCTCAGCACATTGACCTAGCATGGCATCCATAGATCTATGCGTGTAGCCAGTAGCCAAACAACCTTACCTACATTTCTTCTTCGTCTATATATTCTTTTTGCATAGAGCCCTTAGTGTTTAGACTGAGATCACAGTCAGATAAGCCATGGGCTTCAGAACAGGCACAACTCAGCCTATTCAGCTCATATCCCACTGAGCAGTGAAGATTTGCAAATGTAGTGAAAGTTAGGGTTGGTACAAGGTTGCAAACGGTTGCAAAGACTTTCGCCAACATTTGTAACGGTCGCAAATAGTTTTTGTCGCGAACACATTTTGAAGATGTTTTCTTGTTGCAAAGATAGCATTTAGCAGCCAACACAACCACTGGGCGACAAGAAAACCTGCCTGCGACCATTAATACTGTCTGTGAACATCTGGCGAATGTCTTTGAGACCATGAACCAAATCTAACAAAACATTTGCAACTTTCGCAACTGCTTGCAAACCTTCGCCACGCAGTGGAATACGGCCTTAATTAGTTATGAGCACCTGCACTGGTTAAATGAGGGTATTCTTGTTACTTTAGTTCAAACTTTCACAACTTTATTATTTGAAAGCTCGTTGCAATTTCAGACACTTTGAATGGTATTTATTTGGCCACTGGGTTTATTCGTGTTATTTTATTAATCTTATTAGGTTTAGTGTTTTTGAAATTTTTATTGGTACACTGAAAAGAGATAAGAAAAAATTTTCATTTTTTTCATGTAATTTTCAGGGAAAATACTACACTGGGATATCTCTTGTTATCGGGATATAAAATTACTCATCGAGAGAATTTGTGTTTACATTTTTGTTTTAGTGTGACATACATGTCATAGATCAATTATTTCACAATTTGTCAAGGAATAAGAGGCAGTTTACCATTTAAGAGTTGCGTTTCCACAACAGTTAACCTGAAATACACTACAAAACACAACTTTTGCTGACAAGCAAAAGAAAGATAATTTGGAGAATTAAAAATATTCTCTTTATGCATGAAAAACATACCCATTCATGGCTCAAAAAACAAGGTCCATACCAAACTGTGAACTGTATCATCCCAAACCTAATCAGTAGTGGAATGCATAGCCAAGTGTGCAATTCTCACCCAAACTGTCTTGAAGGCAAAAGATTGTTCTGCCACTTCTCCAGATCCTTGAGCTGAAGATCAAAACGTGGACTGATCACGCCACACTGCATGAAACAAAGGCACAAATATCAAATCCAATTCATTTCCGGACAGCTACTCCGGATAAATATCTTATAACTGGACCGTGAATTGACGCCAAGCAGGCAAGTGTAAAAACAAGTCATTAACCTACTAACATCAGAGTAAGAAGTTGCTGAGTGGAGTGGACCAAAACTTTACCTTGTTCAACCTTCCTGTGAGATTGACGACTATTTTCCCGGCTCTATGGTCATCAATGATCTCAAACTCACCAATGTAACCTGGGAAAACATTGACATGAAATACCATGTTAAAAAACATCTGACTGACAAGACTTTTGGGCCAATGAGTCAAATCAGAAATGCAAAACCATGAAGACAATGAACGCGTACCGTGCTTCATCATGACAGTCAGGAAGCGCACAATGACCTTGGAACATGGCCTGATGAGGACTTGTCGTTTCCCACGCTTCTCAGCATTGTTGATGCACTTCAGAGCATCTGCGAGAACGTTCATGCGCACCATGATGCCTACAGAAAACAAAATGCTGGGTGAAGAGACCAATTTTTCAAATCACTTTCAAAAATCAAGAACGGGAACAGCTTCACTCACTCGTTTTGTCTTTTAATAATGCTCACATTAAGATTCAACAATCTCAACTCTTCTTACACAAATCAATTGAGTATTAACAGAAATGCGTTTTGGGTTTTTTTGCGTAAGGGTCAAAACCGACACAATAATAAAAATATAAATTCACTCACTCACTCACTCACTCACACACACACGCAAGCATTCTTGACATTTGGCATCAAAGACCAACACGGACCCACTCTGAGATAGCCAGCGGTTTCAACAAACGCACCAAAGTGTAAACGCAAGCTTTCTACACATTTGGCTGAAAAGCCCAGCAGTGCACGACACACCACAGAGCCGTTGTCTTAAAGAGGTTGGTAAACTAGCTGTGCTTCGCTCTAAGCGCCGTCCTAACGCGAACATTCGGAAGACGCTCTCTATGGCGTACAATGCTTGTAAATATTCGCCGCACATCTTACGGAGCACCGTCTGCGTATGTTCCGTAAAATGGTTTGTTCACGATTTCTAAGGCGCCTACGAGGTAGGCACTGCTCGGCCGCAGCAGAACGGATGGCATGTAGAAAAAGTCGCTCATATGATGCCGTGAAGCGATAGAAAGGCACGATGAACACTTCAAAAAGTTACTACATAAATACACTTCAAGACTATTATCAACATTAAAGTATTCACAATAAGATGAAGTAGATTTATAATGGATTGTATGTGACAATATCAAAAGACATCTCACCGGCTCTGCAATATGGCGGAAAGAGGAAGTAGAATGTAGTTGCAATGCATTATGGGAAACGTGCAACCGTCCATCATGTATCACTAAATCCCCGTTTCTAATGATCTTGACATTTACTCTGGCTTCTTTTGACTATATATTGTATTTTTTTTTATTTTTTATGTTAATATCCTAATTTTAAAGTATTGCTGTAATTCCCGATTTCCAAATAATACAAATGTCAAATTTAATTTAGCGCCGACGTGCGGTGAGGATGAATAACTACACGTTCTATTTTTTTTCTTCGCTAGAACAATTCCACTTAAGTTGAAGAACACGATTTATCAAATTATTAACATTTTTACTTTTGATATGTTATAATTGTTTCATGCGCCTTGGCGGGTAGTGGTTGCACATTTGCCTTACAGTTCTGAGGTTGGGGGTTGAAATCTGGGCTCTGGCCTTCCTGTGTGTCATTTGCAGTTGTTCTCAGTTCTTGCATGGGTTTTCTGTGGGTACCACCCACATACTAAAAACATGCACATTAGTTTTATTGATTTTGTGTATGTGAGCATAAATGGTTCTTTGTCTGTACATGCACTGCAATTTGCTGGCAACAAGTCCGGGTCTACATCTCACCTGAAGTCAACTAGAAGAGAGTCCAGCTCATCAATGACCGTAATGAGGATAGCACCGTAATTTGTTTGGTATGTTTGTTTAAATTATTGACTAGTTATTTATTTGTTCATGCAAAAGAAAAAGGAATGATTTTTTTTTTCAAAATAATGGAATTTTTATTGGGAATAAATTTGATTGAATCATAATACCCTTGTGATACACATCAGAGAGAACACATGTAGGACAGAGATTACTTTAACATGCAGTAAAATATATGTGTATAAATATGCTAGTGTCGCCTTGTGGGCTAAAGATGAGTAAGTCACAAAAAAATAATTCGTCAGTGTGTCGAGGCTGCTTGTGTACAGTTTACAGTTAGAACAGGGAGCAATTTTATGCCCATACATTGAATGATACGTCTAATTCATGCTCATCAACATTTGTTAAATAATGGTAGATTGGTGAAATCCACAACTAAATTGACAAATGACTGGGTAGAAATTATATGAATAAATATATGTTCCACGCAGCTAGTTGGGGTGGAAAAAAGGACAAAAGTTGCTAACTATAAGGAAACAAACTGTTATTTGAGAGAAGTAGACAGTTGTGCGATCCTCAAGTCTTTTATAAATGTGACCCTCATTTCCACCATGCTCAGTTCAAGATTTAAAGTGTATTGTTTTGTCCTCCCATTGCTTGAAATGGAAACACTGGCCCTGCGCAAGACTAAAGGAAAGAAAAACAAAACAAAGAGAGAGGGAAAAAAGCTTGACAATTGGATCTCAAGCTTGACACACGGAGGATATGGCATGACCCGTGTTTCTTTACTATTTTGATGCTTACATACGTCAACACCTGACTTGGTCTCTCTTCTGAACTTATAACGTTAGCCACTGTTGCTGCCCATGCTTGCAAGGAAATCTTTGTCTTTTTTAGGATTCAAGCCAAGCTTCCGAAGATCAAGACCCATGGCTACCAGCATCTGGAGCAAGGTGAGTTCCTGTTGCGTTGCCTGGTCCACCAGGGTGGGGCAGGTGGGGTTACACTGAGGCCAATGGCAATTGTCCACCAGGTGAAATGGACAGCCTTTGGCTGGAGTTCTGTTGTTGCGAGTGGCTTCCAAGCTCCTGTCCCAGCAGTGCAGGGCCCGCGGCAGAGAAGTGCCTCGAACTTGGAAAGTCATCCAGTTGCTGAGAGAACAACAAGCAGGTGGGTGCAAGTAAGGACAAAAATGAGTAGTGACAACTTGTAACGTATCAATAACCATCTCTGGTGTTTAAGAATTAATATTTTTTCAGTACAAGCCTATGGAACTGGAGCATATGAAATCACCACATATCCAATCATACCTTTTAGTAATCACTGTATGGGAAAGGCAGGAAGGTGCAAATACTGCTCTGAAGAATCACAGAAACAAAACAGGGCACGTTATTTGTCAGGTTGCTACTAAGTTATATTATGCTTCAGCAAATTCTTCATTGTGAACATACGTAACATCTCTCAGGGAGTTCTTCAACTCTCTGCCTAGGTTCTGGATGTATTGCCACTGTTCGTTGCTCATGTGCTGTCTTCCAATATAGATGTTCTCCACCCTCAGCTGTTCTTCATCAAATAGCCACTGCACAACAAATAGAGGGGCTGCAGAGAAAACAAAAAGGTACTGTCACCGCAACTGGCATTTAACTCAGAAAAAGTAATGCTGAAGAATGCGATCACCGAGCTGAAATGAATTGAGAAATCTCGAGCAATCTGGATGGACATCAGTGCTTCGACAACTATCACCCTCTTTTGCTTTGCTGTCTTGAAATTTACTGTTAATATGCATTTCTGTAGAACATATTCCAAAGTCTTTGGACTGAGGAACCTAACACCTCAAATGAATGCTGAAAAAGTTGGTCATGCTGTTCTTGGCATGAGTTTGAATTTGTGGTGATAACTAACAGAAACAAAGGTACACAATTCAACACGATTCAGCAGTTTTTACCTTTACAGTCTATTTGTTTGGTTACTGATTGTTTTGGCCCAGTCTTTACATTCTGTATTTTATGGAATTTCACATTCTGCCAAAACATTCTAGATCCTTCTTCTCTTATTGTCAACACCAAGACACGACTGAAGAAAGCAGCAGGTATTGAGCAACCAACAAATGCAATCCAACCGTAAAAGGAGGGTAAACCCGGGTCACTCAAATACCATAGAAAATGACAATATCAACAAATATTAGATTATTTTCCCCCCAATAATAATTAACATTTAATGCCTGTTACCATTTAAGGTGTATCATGCAACTAACAAACAAAAAAATAAAACAGAATGCAAACAAGCACTTCCGGTGGCTATTGGTCTCAGAATTTGTGATTTTGGTCATAAAAATAATGAATCCTTATATTTGTGCAAACAAAAGTTTGTCACACACAGACACAATGCATCGACAACCTTGCAAAGCATAAAATAATCAAAAGGACATATCTGCTGTTGAAACTGAGCTATACGATACGGTGAATCTGATTTTGAAGGCCACTTACAGGTCAAGGTAGAATACAGCTTGTAGCCAAAGAAGCACTGCCACTCCTCCCCTTTTTTATAGAGTCGACGACACCTACCAGGTACCGCACCATTCCACAACCTGACAAACCATACAATACAGACCGGGCTTAATTATTGATATAATAAATATCGACAGATCTGTCAAGTTTGAATGACAAGCATTACCATTTTGCAGAGAACCCTACATCCATTTTGGATCGCTTTACCTTAGGCCGACCTTGATCGCATCTTCAGGTGAACAGGTAACCGTTTCAGGGCAGGTTGATGATCTCTGGTGTTTACTTTCGAGAAACCAGCCAGAGTCCACCAGACCTCGGACCTGTGCCTCTGCACCAAGCTGCTCCAGATAATTGGCCACTCTCTCGATATTCAGCAAGACTCCTGTTCCGCCAGCACTGCAGGAAGATTACGATTATCGCTCAGTGGATTTTACAGAAAAACTCTAGTCCGCAATATTTGGGTGGGCTCAAAGCTAATGGATGGACATACCAAACCCATCCATTTCTGTACCACTTGTCCGATTCAATGTCAGGGGTTAGTGGCTGGAACCTATCCTCACAAACTTGTGAAAGCAAACCACACATGGACTGATCAACAGTCAGCCACAATGCAGTTGGGAACGTGAACTGGCAACTGCACGCATTCAGCAATGTGAACCGCTACACTACATGTAGTCCAACGTGCCAACTCTCAAAAGGCAATTCAAACTAACATCAGATTCCATTTCAGGTGGCAGGAGTATTGTTTAAGCAGCATTTTTATCATGGTTCCTAGATGGCTGTCAAGTCGTGATGTTCAAAAGTGTCCGGGAAAGAGACAGAAATTGATTTGTCTGCAAAAGGTGCAGTCAGCCTCTCATCTTGAGCAGTGAAATGAGCTTACCTTGTGCCAGACAACAGAACAACCTTGGCCTGCTTGATTCCTTTGGGAATGAGGTCTTTGATGACCTCTCGGATGATGAGCGATCCCATGAAAGCATACTCAGCTGGTAAGGAATACAGACAGGGAATGCAGGAGCGGTATAGGCATGCTAGTAGTAAATCTCATTTTCTTTCTGCAGAGACACACTTGCATTTGTATTTCGGTTCCTTTCTTTCTCTCTTCCTTGTCGTTGGCTTGGAGGAGGGGCCGGGGCAGGCCCAGTGCCACTCCAAATATCGCTGGAGCAGTATGGGATGAATCTACAGAAAAGGACACACTCGCCGATGAACCTACGAGCCGTAAACCACCCCACGGTTACCCAAACATGTGATGATAGAGGTTCTTACACAATGTTCGTGTTGTGCCAATAAGGATTTTCAGCTACTTGGGATGACAATATGCCACGCCCTGTAAATCAAGCAATCGAAAATTAAACAGGGATCCTTATCCATGATTTAATAATTGATTGTGGGAGTGCATATGACTAAGTACTGTACAATCAGTTGACTTACCAGTCTTTGTCAGGGGCCAACCGGATGAGCTCATTAGTCGAGGGATATGTTGGTACCTGGAATCACAGGTCTCTTTGCTGTAGCAGCACCAGCCGCCTAAAAAGCGGGAAGACTAATATTAAACATCCAGGCGCACGCGGAATAAGAACCAAACGTGACTCCAGCAGAGAGGCCTGTGTCGTGTATGAGTCGGAGGGCAATGCACCTGCAGCCTTGAGTCAAGCATGCATCCTTTAATTTGAAAGAGCTAGGAATGCTGTCATGAAGTTGCATATTTTTATTAAAGCCATTCTTAATGTATTCCACGATCACTGACATAAAGTACACATCAGATAGACGACATGAGAGATCTAGTTGAAGCGACATCTATGCGTTTCTCCAATCCGAAATACACAGAAGGCTGACAGCAACTAAAAAAGGAGAAACACCGAAGATGACATCTGCATCTAAATTCCAACGGGGGCGTCAACTGCAAACAAGCTGACCTCTTGGGGACCAAATTAACCAGAGTGTTTTTTAATATACTCACCTTCCAGAAATAACAGCCATCTGCGGCTTCCTCTGATCTCTCTTAGGTAAAACCTGCACAACCACGAATCATTTTTTTTTAAAGTAAAGAAATGTATCACAAGTGGGCATGTTGATCTCCACCAAGCATCTCACATTTTTAGGTTTGTTTTAGTGGTTATAATCCCTCAAAGAGAATTCAAAAATTTCACTCTGCTGTATATTTAATAGAAGAATACATATGAGATGAAGGTGGCCGTCAATTTCAAATGAGCAACTCACCCAGCTGCTGTCCCATCATTACACGTCACATGCGGATTCTTGAGAAAGTGCAACCTCATTTCATCTGTCTGCTGTTTAGCTACTCGAGCTCCTGCAGCAACGTCTCTTGCAGATTCACCTCTGCTGATACCTCCAGTAGCTCTATTGTTTGAAATGTTCCCAGCAGAGAGAACAGCCTCAGGTGAAGGCTGGATGCCGTCGCCTGCTTGGGTCCCATGTGGAGATTTCTTGGAGGACTGAACTTTTGTATTCCTACTCCAACTCTCCCCCAGCAAAAGTAAGAAAGCAATCTGGCCAAGTATCTTCATGTCTGCTGATGATACAGTGCAATTCACTATTATTCATTCATTACAGGATGAATCAGATGAGAAGTGGACATACCTATTTCAAAAATAAGGAAAAACAGTGTCTGAAATTGCCCAGAAGTTGGCCTGATGATGAAGTGAGCGGTAGCAGGTGTAAAAAATTGATGATGTCAGTCTTGAGTGGTAATGAAGCTTTGACCATGTTTTTGATGAATCCTCCAAATCATCCCTGAGCTTTATAGTGCCATCATATGGATCAGAGTTCCTCCCATTTTTCTCTTGAAGCTCCAACTGACGACACACATCAAGGGGAGGTACTGGATGACCAGCGGTGAGGAGAAAAGATCTTCTTAACATATTTCTTTGCGCGCATTCAAAAGCAAAGCACTTTGCCATCTGGGCGCAGCTCAAGAACATGCTTCCCCGCCTGCCCCCCACGTTCTTTCTCCCCCCCATACTTCTCAGATTGCTCGAATATCCAGCCTCGGTTGAGATGGGACTTAATTTATTAACAGATTACAATGAAAACACGTTTTATGCAAATCACAAAACTAGAGTAAGACATGATACAAAAACAAGCATCGAAATCTGTATTTTTTTTTTCATACTTGAAAATTCATTCAAAAAGGAATATTGATTTGTTAGCGTTGTGGATGTAAGCAGGCCATTAGTTATAGAAGTTAATTTTGTTATAATAATGGAAAAGTAGAAAGGAGGCAAACACATTTTTTTTCTGTAGATGAACACACGACCAACCATAACATTAGGTACAGTTGCAAAATCTGAGGACTATTACAAGAGCTGTTTCGAAAACCTTTATCAAGTTCCACACTTTCTGTCTTGATTCGTTTGTAACAATGGGTTTATGATTGTGGTTGTAGTTTTTATTGATGCAGTATATCTTGCTTCTGGTTGTTTCTTTACATTTTTAGTCACTTTGACAAATGAGAAGGGCAAAATATTACAAACATATAACAGTAGCTTGCTGTGTAATTGTGGTCTGAAACCCCCCCCCCCCCGGCCCCCCAAAAAAGCAAACTTTATTGTTAAATAATGGTATAAACTCTCACAGTAAACTTACGAATTGGGCATTTTTATCGGCATCATTCTGACACAGTTCTTGATTGGGCCCTGTTAAAATGTTGCACGTGTGTGGCCGGTCTGTCAGTTCTCAGCATTTGACTGTTTTAGCTCCATTTCGAATTTGAAATAGAAACTCAAACTTTATCTGAGACTTGTGCACCCTAAAATTAGAGTTAAAGATTTCGTTCATTCCTTTTGATTGAGACATTTGAAGCATAGTGTCATAAGGGTTTTTTACCTGTGGCTGCATTTGGATCCAGGTCAGTCTGGAGCCTGCAGACTCTTGGAGAGTGCGTTTGATGAAGACAGACAAACTGTTTGAAACTGATCCTCTGCCGTACTCATTGGATGACTCAATGGTGACATAGCGCTGATCACGAGCCTTGGGGTTCTGAAATTCTCATCAATGAAATGCACACCATCCTAACATGCCAATCACAGCAAATGATGGATGCTTGAAAGGCCAAGTATACAAAGGCAGTGGCGGTCTATGTGGCATCTTTGGAGAGTGAAAGAGTGAGGCACTAATAAATGTATGACAATAAAAAAACCCTCAGACTTAAGCTTCCTTTAAAAGTCTAGAATCCTTACGCATTCAAAGTTCAAGGCATTTTCTAATATGAGTCAAGCCTGCATAAATAAGGAGTATTGCTAATTGTTACCATTATTATTCAAACAGTGGCCATTCTGTTTTGAGACAACAAAGACCATTGCAATTAACCCCAAAAAATACAGCACAAACAAGACAGAACAGTTGACCAAGTATTTTACTTTGGCAGACAAAAACAGAATTCTTGACTTAGTTTCAAGCATTCATGCTATTTTAAACTATGGCCAGAAAGAAAACAGAGCTCGTAAAATATGCGTGTGAGATCATATCACCTAAATGCAGTAAAAAATGGACCCTAAAGACATCACTATACTGAATTTGATCCCCCAAGCTGAATAATTCTTCATTCCTTCAGTTGTCTAGACCATCTTCTAATAAATCAGTGCAAAAATCTGTTTAACAGATACCCCAAAACGCGTTTCAAAAAAAAAAAAAAAAAATGAAAGCTGCTGAAACTGTATCAGCAGATCAACAGAATATCACAAACCAAGAGATGGCGATGCTGCTATTTAGATTTTCTTTATTTGGTTGGATAGAGTGCCATTTTTCTTTTTAACCAGAACAGATTAGGATCGATGTTGTTGCCAAGTTTGAAGACAACGCATTTTGACTGCTGATATAGCATATGAACCGAAGGCCTATTCTCATACATATGATCAGCATATCACACCTGCAGTGTTGATCGACATAGCCTAAAACAACCTCTGATTCATTTTTGCGCTGTTCTGAAAAAAGCATTTAGTGGAGTTTTGTAAATGACAATGGCACAGTACGTCACCCCCCCCCAAAAAAAAACGGAAAAACGGCATGTTGTTCAACTCATTCCACAAATTCCTCAATTCACATGGTGTCTGGAGGGCTGTAATCCCAGTTTGCATTCTGATGTGGCTGGAGCGAGCCACTATTCTGACATGGGGACACAATGTGCTCCAGTGCACTATATGACGTGTGTTTTGGCTCTACGACGTCAAGCTCCAAAGTGGTCCTGTAGTTACGTTCGATGACCAACAGCCCTGCATTGATACATATTCTGTATAACCATAAATATAACCAACAGGACATCACACCATACTGAAGACATGAACACACTCATCAGGAGGACTTTAATACTTTTTGAAAACTGTATTGCAGACCGGACAAGCAATAAGAGTTTAATGCTACAAAATTTAAGATGCAATAAGCTATGTGTTCAAAAATGTAACAATAATACTCAATATTTGTCCCAAACTGTGGTCCTATGTCTTCCAGGCCACTCACATGTGCAGTAATGCAGTTACATCACCTTTAGAATCCCTCAACTAAAGCATCCGGTGAAATCATGCAGCAGGTACGTATGCTCCAGACATGCCAAAGTGGACAGGAGAATGTGAACTGTTTACTATTTATAAAGTTTGCCGACTGAGTGTGGGTGGTTTCTAAGCCCACGCTGATGCTCAAAGTGAATACTTGACCAAATGTTTCAGAAGCTTGAAGGAGTCTGTTCAAGCGAACGGCTTCTCACTTCTGGGAACCTCCATGATTGTATGCGCAGATGAAATTTATGATGGCTTGATAGGATACATGTTTATTGCCCTCCAGAGTCAAGGAGGCTCACCAAATGTATTTGTGTCGGTATGCGCCACTATTTTCAATGAAAAGATTACTTGGAGTGGGCCTATCTACGCTAAATGGCCACAACATTGGGAATTACTGCACTTTCTAATGACATCCAATACAAGAGCTTCATAACTTCAAAGATACTATTTTATCAAATAAGTATTAACTTTACAATGTGTTTGTTATTGTCATTTGCACTGCATCACACCTTAAGGTTTTTTATACCTGCAGAATTGTTGACACACCGCTAATTGTGTGTGTAACGTGTACTGATGTTGATATTGGAATTTAAAACATATATCTGCTTTTACTTTGTGAGGAATTTGTCCTAGTGCTCAATGCACATAAAACAAAAAGTCTACTGTACAATAAAAAAAAAAAAAATCCATCATTTTTAAAGGGCCAGTATGAGATGAAGCTTGTAAAAAAAAAAATAAAAAGTGAATTCACAAAGAATGAAAGTTGTCAGACATGTAAAACAATGTATAACATATAAATCAGGGCTTCAGGCAAAACCGATGTGGAGTATTAGTTACCATAAGCCGCAGACAAGCCACTGAACAGTCTGTCGAGGCTAAAGCCAAAGACCATTACTACCTGTATCTGAAAAATTTTACTACTGCCGCGGCAGGAAACTTGCAATGACAATTATTCATGGTTTACTTAAGTTTTATAGCACTTTTTTAATACCCTGTTGCCAAAAATCTGAAAGTTCTTTTCACTGCAATGTAAGAAAGAAATGTTGACAACTCACACAATGCATTCAACGCAGATTTCAATCATTCATACACTGCCCTTCCATTGTCTCCCTCCCAAAGTCACCACAACAAGCATACCATTGTGTTTGCTTGAAAAGATGGACAGTGAAGAAATTATTTTTAGCAAAGGTGAGGTGGGGGCAGGGGACCCGTTGACCCTTAGCTCACATCTGATGTGCAATCCACCTCAGCTTCTGACCTCATGCAAAAAAAAAAAAAAAAAATAGATCAAAGGCTACAAACTTGGGCTACAGCTCAGTGTACAAATTCTGGGGGTGAAAAAGTTCATGTTTGATTGATCAACAAAAATACAAAAGTACAGTAAACTAAGAGTGGCTTTGGCAGTCAAAATACTATTGCTTGATTGTCAAAATAAACTCATAGGTCACGTGTGCACTCAAAATGGGATCCCATACAAGAAGCTTTTATATACAGTACACATAAACAGTACATACGGTATAGGTATGAATATTGAAACTATGTTTACCTCTGAAATGATAGTTTGGAGGGCTAGATAGCAGCACAACTGAATGTGTCATGTGTGCCAACTGTTGCCAACCTCCACAAATGACACCAAAAGAATGTTGATGTTTCAGATGCACAACTTACAGTTGTACAAAAAAGTATGACGTCAGAGTTAGCTGGAGTTCTCCATAATCTGATCATAAAACGTGATCTGATCTTTATCGAAGTCATATGAGACAAACTCCGATTATCAGTTTTTGTGAATTATGTGAATATCAGATCACATTTTAGGACCAATTCAGAAATCTGAAATTGCAGAAACCCAGGAAATCCCAAGAGTTCTCTTAATTTGTCTTGCTGAAACTGATAAAATAATTGCAAAATCAGTCGGAATATTAAAACAAGCACTTTATTTTAAATGTTTTTTGATATATACTGTATACAAAGTCACACACGTTGAGAAGCATAAATTGCCGCTTTGCACCCTAGCTGGATGACATTTTTAAGTAGCCAGAATCCAGGTACCTAAATCAAAAGCACAGTAACACACACACACACACACACACACACACACACACACACACACACACACACACACACACACACACACACACACACACACACGAAAGCACTGAATTCAGAAGTCCAATAAAAACAAATATACAGTTTGACACTCCCCCCACCGCATACTCCTCGTTCGACATCTACGAATCTACCGATTCACCGATTTTTTTCATTATTTTTTTTTTTTTAAATAATGGATTTTTTGAGGAGAGGGGGGGCAACCCCCATTTTACATGGAAAACACTTATACCCACGTATTCAATAATTCCAGGGGTTAATATGTTTTAGTTTGTTTGTTTTGTTCCTCAGTGTATTTACGTGGATTTTTTTTTTTTACCGAATGACACAGTCCATATATGGCATAAATAGCGGGGGGGGTTCACTGTATTAATATTTTGAAAGTCAAATACAGTGGATATAAAAAGTCTACACAGACCTGTGCAAATGTTGGGTTTTTGTGGTGTAAGAAAATGTAATTGTTTTAAAAATGTTATCTTTTTTTAACTTTAATGTGATCTATAACGTATCCAATTAATGTGAAAAACAAACAGATCTTTTTAGGGAAAAAACAGCAAATATACAATAACCTATTTCTAGTCTAGTGTATTTAGGGCCATGTTGCACCTCTCATGGTGTTTCGTGCACAAAGTTGCCTCACCACCGACTCATCCACATATACAGGTGTGTGTGTGTGTGTGTGTGTGTGTGTAAAAATCTCACAAAAACCTGGAATATGAATAGGGTCGTGTATATTTGTTTTAAAAATCCACTGTACATATCGACCTACATTACTATTCCAACAGATCCCCATACTTACTGATTCAGCATCATGTTGCAATCCTATATCGTGATGCTCCATCTCATCATCTCGGAACTCTTTTATAACCTAAACAGACACAACACACAACATACACACAGAACCCAAGCCATCTTAGTCTTGGGGGAAAAAAATCCAAGTCGGTTGCATAAAGTCCATTAGGAGACAACAAAACCAGTATTCAAAAACAAACTCCATACAGGAAGACTGGAGCCGGGATCGAACCCTGCACATCTATACTGTGAGGCGGACATGCTAACCAGTTGAGCGCCGTGCCACCGCTAGCAAATCGGTGCATTAGATTTTAGTACACTACGAGATGATTGAGGTACACAAAAGTAAAGCCACTTCAGAGAAAAGGCATTATCTAATAAATTAAGATCAGTAAAAGGTTGTTTTTTTACTCAGATTTGTTCCTGCTTGATTATGAGTGTGATGGGCATAGTTACGTATACGTGTGAATTTTATTTCATGAAATCTTGACTGCGGGTGGTATGAAAAAGAAAGACAGATGCGCGCACGGCCAGCACTCACTGAAGTGTTGTGTCACCCTGGCGATGCCGCTGAAAAATATCTGGCACCATTAAAATCTCCCACATGGATTAATTTCAGTTACACCATTGAATACAATGACTAGGGGGTGTTAGATCTAATGCTCACAGTGCAACAAGTTGCTAAGCTGCGCAAAACATTTTGAAATCCTGCAGTGGCTGTCAACATGTAGACGATGTTTAGAATTTTTTTTTTTAACTCAGAAAGTCACTGTCAGCCATGCATGCCTTTTAGAGTCTGTTAGTAAAATGGCCCCATGAAGGCAGCCGATACCAGTATTAACCACTGTTGTCAGTACCTTATTACAGGGGTGGCCTTTTTTGACCAAATATCGACTTTTGAAGCGGCCAAACTCCCGCGATCGATCCGATTGCGAGTGTGCAAGCAGACACACACGCACGCACGCACGCGGGTGCGCAACCATGCAAATGCACGCACGCACGCCACGATGAGCAACAGAGCTAACGGCCCCAAAAAGGAACCTAACCGAAACCTACAGACACACCCTACCCTTCTCGATCAACTTAGGACCAGTCCGCGGGCTACTGGTTGATTGCGATCTGGCACCATAGATAAGAAAATAGGTAGATACAACGTGCCTCTTTGAGCTTTTCAGTTAGTGGGGGCAAAATGTCAGCACATTTCATGCATATGGACATCACAAAAAAACAAAATAACAAGGATACTTGGACATTGTTCTGAATATTCTTACACCCAACGCTTGTACAAATCATCCATCCATTATCTGTCCGTCAATCTAGGGCCACTATAATATAAACCTTAAATAGAGTGGGGCGTCAAATAAATCTGATTAGCCCTAATTTCAGTTGTTCTTTGAAGTTTGGCCATTGTCAGGCAGTCATTCTTCCTTTTTAAAATGCTGAAACATTTTTTGTTACAATCTCTCAATGCAGAAACTTGCAGGGCTGGCAGGGAAGACAGTGCTGCCACCTGCTGTTCAACAAGGCTAAAAATTAGACTTGTCGAGACAGTAGAATTACCGGTATATAAAATTTAAGGTCCCTGTAAAATGACAAGAAATATGTCTTCTAAATTAAATGTAAAACACCACAGAGAAGAGTGTTGTAAATAACACTGCCAATTTTTGAAGGATTAAAAAAAGTTGCCAAGCACATAAATAAGGGCTGACAATAGTGAAAAATCATCCCATTGTCTCTGCTCTCAAACATCGTAGGCGTGTATGCACTACACCACACTCAGCTGTTAACTGTTGATAAAATAATACAACCTGGGAAAATGGATGCTACTTCATCAAGCATCCATCTTTCTTATGCCTAAACAAAACTACAATGAAAAAAAATCAAACCCTGGATGAACTTGAAAAACACTTCAGTAATCCATTACACCTATATTTGAGCTTTGATTCATTTCAATAATTCATTTAGTAAGTGGAACCTGAAATCTATAACACTGTCTATACTAATTTCTTTTAATTTCTTAATTGTTTCAAGTTTCCGAAATTAAAATAGACCCCTTATGACGAGTAAAATTCGTGGATCGAAGTTTCCCTTGCCCGGACGCGGGTATTGTTTCAAGTTTCCGAAATTAAAATAATTAAGTTGGCTTTAATACTTAACGTAAAGTACTTAATGCAGTCCGTTCCGCTTCAGCTGGAAGTTCTTAGCAAGCACATGCCAACTCCACACAGCAAGGACAGATCTTTCATATACCAAGAGCAGTGTTATAGTTGAGGGTGGACTGAAGACTGTTCATCTTAATGATTCTAAGTGCACCATCAACTAACAATGATCATTGAACCACAAACAAGAATGTGTTTCATCAAGGAATGTGCTTGTGTCAAAATACATTTTAAGTATTTTCATTCAATTGAATTTTGTACAAGTTAAACTGGCGGCACGGTGACTGGTAGCCCATCTGCCTCATAGTTCAGAGGTTGTGGGTTCACACCGAAGCTCCTGCTACTCTAGTTTCCTACGGTGTTTGAAAAATGAGCATTTTAGGTTAATTGAAGATACCAAATTGTGAGTGTAATAGTTGTTTGGGGAATAAGCAGTGTGGAAAAAGCATTTCATTACAAGAGCCTCTAATAATATTTGAAATAACTTCAAAAACTGTAGCGTTTACATCAGGTTAAACTGAAATGCATAAAGCTAACTTAATTACAGTATTTCAATTTCGGACTGCTTGAAATAATTGGCTGGCATCACTAAGAAATGAGTTCACACGTAGTTAAAATTTTCAGATTGCACCTTAACCAACATTTACACAATATCACAGAAAACGTGAAAGGAATTCAAATAAACCAGCGGACTGTGTTCTATGCACAAATGAATATCAGGCTTTTTTTTTCTTTTTCTTTCATAATCAACTATATCAAGAGAGAGCACTCACTTTTAATAGTTCAGTATATCTGTCAGGATCCTCCTCCATCAGAGTTCTCATCTGGCTGTTGTAGTGCTCAGAGATACTCTCCTCCACTGCCACAGTGCAGGCCATGGCCACCTCCTTGCCCAACATTGCAGTAGATGCCCCTATGAAAAAGTTCAGATTTCAGGAGATTGCAAATATACTGAAAGCATAATCACATAAACAAATACAATATTCTTTAAGATGAGCATAATAGTAAGTAAGGTTAATATACAGTCAAACACATGTACAACTTCACATGTATTCAATTAGAAATTAAATACAGGTAAAAGCTTAAGACTTAACACTGAAACATCCCACTTTTGCTCAATGTTGTTATTAGATTCCTATTTTAATTTTCCATTCTGTACCAACCTAATAAATAGCCAGCAACATTCCAAAGTGGTAGTAGTGCTGTCGGCCGGACTCTGCTCTCAGCAAGTATTTCATTAAATTTCTCTAGGTGTTTTTTTTCTTGATCCCACATTTCCTGTAAGAAAGAAACAACATATCACAAAATCAAAGTGAATGTTTGGTCCCTCATGGAAAATAATTTTTGACTCAGTGTTGTTGTATTTATTTACATTTCTGTTTATTTGTTGACCAAAATCCAATTGAATTGTGAAACATTGATTATTGGTTAACATTTTTATTTTATTTAAATGAAAATAATTAATAACAAAGCCTCCAATAATGGGCTGTTGATATTTTATTTTTAGCATGCAAAATATAACGTAAAATGTTTTCAGAGCATGTGTCAGTGATTTTTGTTTGCACGATGACACTGATAACCTCGACAATTTTGGTCATGATAGTCGTGAAGTAAACTATGAATATTGTTCCATCAGTCCTCTCAAGTAGGAATTCTGACTGCATTATGAGATCGAGGGCAGATTCTTCTCTGACCTGGATGAGAGTTCCAGAAGTAGACCTGCTCAATACTGCCATCTGGCCGGCGTAGATTCGATTGGCACCATATTCACCTGCATGGTCCACACGTAGCATACGGTCAAGCATCTCCTTCTCGGTCCTGTCACGCGGGGTCGGGATCACACTGTAATCGCGGGAGCTCCATAGGGACGCTGCAATCAAATTTATGAAGGCACATAGCTTCACGTTAACCATGAGCATCGTTGCTCTCTTCGGAAGGCCCAAGGTGCGCCCATGAATCTGCGAGTTCTCGCCGTTCTTACAAGACACAATTTCATAACGGTGAAACCTTATCAAACAACTGTGATTTTTTCCCCACATGACATATCTCATTTGCTAAACTAGTGCCAAATATAACAAGAGTTATTCGAAGTTGACAACCAAGCTACGGTACTTTAGGACGTTTGTTTTTAGCCTGTTTAGCATTTTAGCAGTGCGTTCTAAAACCATGCACTGCTTGCTTACCTCTGATTTTTGAGCTACGCCTTGCAATCAATGGGACCGCCGTGTTTGCCCAGTCATTTAACACTGTGTATACAGTTCTTTGCATGCTACCCTGTTTTATGGCAATACGCCCCTAGCTATCAAACAGAGCAAAAAGAAAATACAGGCAAATTGTCATTGAAATGTCAGCGGCTCGACTTGTCGCAGTTTGACGACGTCACAACATTCACGCCAAGTCTTTCTGCACTTTCTCCTTCTGCTCCTCTTTCTCGTTCCCCTCTTCTTCTTCTTGTACAATCTGACGGCGGTTTGCAAACTCAAGCAGTTCATTACTGCCACCCACAGATCCGCAATTATTACGGCTTTGGTTTTCAGCAGAGGTGTCTAACACATTTTAGTTCCAGTTTCCCTTGAAGAGCCGTTATGATTGAAACCATATAAAGAAGTCAAGAATGACGGTTGATTCAACTACTGTTAAAGTGACTGTAATCAGGGGTTTGGTACCAAGAAAATGCTTACAATAGCTCTCTTATTTATTCCATATTAGAATTTGAAATTTGACATTGTGATTAATATTGCGTTTGTGGAATACGAGTTAAACAGCAAATTCTGTCCGTTTTTAGCCATCTCAAGGGACGGCCATTTTGCCACTTTCTATCAACTAAAAATCACATCACGGTTGCTCAGGATTCAGGTTACGACCAATCACGGCTCACCTGTTTTCTGAAGCTGAGCCATGATTGTTTTTTACCTGAGCCCTGAGCAACTGTCATGTCATTTTCAGTCGACAGAAAATGGCAAAATGATTGCCCCCTGAGATGGACAAAAATGGGTGGATTTTACTGCTTAACTCATATTCTACAAACACAACATTTATCAGTGCGGCACAGCAGACGACTGGTCAGCACGTCCGCCTCACAGTGCAGCAGTGCAGGGTTTGATTGCAGCTTCAACCTCCCTGTGTGGAGTTTGCATCTTCCCCTCGTGCCAGCGTGGGTTTTCTCTGGGTACTCCGTTTTCCTCCCACATTCCATGTTTTGGTTCAATATCAGGCTTCCGCAGACCTTGCTGATGGTCTGATCATTTGAATCAGGTGTGTTGCAACAGGGAGACTTTGAAAACATGCAGGGCAGTGGCCCTCCAGGACCGGGGTTCGACACCTGTGCTCTAAATTGTCCCTAGGTGGGACAATGGTTGTTCATCTATGTCTGCCCTGCGATTGGCTGGCAACCAGTTCAGGGTGTACTTCGCCTACTGCCCGAAGGCAGCTGGGATAGGCTCCAGCATGCCGGCGACCTTTGTGAGGATAAACAGATTAGAAAATGGATAGATGGATGGATAGATGGACGGATGCACAATATTAATCAGAATGCCGTGTTTGGATTAGGATGGGCGCATAGAATTTATTATTGTAAAAGATATCTTCAACCGCGGTCAATTTCACACACAATGCCAAGGTGGATATTTGGAGAACATGTTGCAAAGGCAATAAAATCTAGACCACATGGACTGAAGACTTCCAATTTTTGGGACCGAATTGTTATCAAATCAATCAATATTTGTACAACAAATAAAGCAATTCCGGAGGGATCACACTCCTCAGCCTCCCATGTAAGGTCTATTCAGGGGTGCTGGAGAGGGGGGTCCGTCAGGAAGTCGAGCCTCAGATTGAGGAGGAGCAGTGTGGTTTTCGTCCCGGCCGTGGAACTGTGGACCTGCTCTACACCCTTAGCAGGGTCCTCGAGGGTACGTGGGAACTCGCCCAACCAGTCTACATGTGTTTTGTGGACTTGGAGAAGGCGTTTGACCGTGTCCCTCGGGGAGTTCTGTGGGGGGTGCTTCGGGAGTATGGGGTACCGAGCCCCCAGATACGGGCTGTTCGGTCCCTATACTGCCGATGTCAGAGTTTGGTTCGCATTGCTGGCAATAAGTCGGAATCGTTTCCAGTGAGGGTTGGACTCCGCCAAGGCTGCCCTTTGTCGCCGATTCTGTTCATCACCTTTATGGACAGAATTTCTAGGCGCAGCCGTGGCATTGAGGGGGTCCGTTTTGGTGGCCTCAGTCTTGCATCTCTGCTTTTTGCAGATGATGTGGTACTGTTGGCTCCTTCAAGCAGGGCTCTCCAACTCTCACTGGAGCATTTCGCAGCTGAGTGTGAAGCAGTTGGGATGGAGATCAGCACCTCCAAATCTGAAACCATGGTCCTCAGTCGGAAAAGGGTGGAGTGCCCTCTCCGGGTCGGGGAGGAGATCTTGCCCCAAGTGGAGGAGTTTAAGTATCTTGGGGTCTTGTTCACGAGTGAGGGCAGGAGGGAGCGAGAGATCGACAGGAGGATCGGTGCAGCGTCTGCTGTGATGCAGACGTTGTATCGGTCTGTCGTGGTAAAGAAGGAGCTGAGCGAAAGGGCGAAGCTCTCAATTTACCGGTCGATCTACGTCCCAACCCTCATCTATGGTCACGAGCTATGGGTCGTGACCGAAAGAACGAGATCCCGGATACAAGCGGCCAAAATGAGTTTTCTCCGCAGGGTGTCCGGGCTCTCCCTTAGAGATAAGGTGAGAAGCTCAGTCATCCGGGAGGGGCTCAGAGTAGAGCCGCTTCTCCTCCACATCGAGAGGAGCCAGATGAGGTGGCTCGGGCATCTAATTAGGATGCCTCCTGGACGCCTCCCTGGTGAGGTGTTCCGGGCATGTCCCACTGGCAGGAGACCCCGGGGACGACCCAGGACACGCTGGAGAGACTATGTCACCCAGCTGGCCTGGGAACGCCTCGGGATCCGCCAGGAAGAGCTCGAAGAAGTAGCTGGGGAGAGGGAAGTCTGGGCTTCCCTGCTAAAGCTGCTGCCCCCGCGACAGCGGTAGAAGATGGATGGATGGATTGATGGATAAAGCAATTCCATGATAAGTTGTAGAAATGGGAGGCACTTAGAGTTGCAATTATTTTGGGTCACCACAAGATCTTAAGTACAAATGGTAAGTATGACTTGATGGTACAAGATGAACTGCAGACAAGGGACAAATCTAGAAATGTAGTGACAAATGGTGAAAATCAATGTCATGGCAACCTTCTTTCGCTTCTGCTGCCTCAATCACCAGCTGATCGCCATTGACATCATGTGCGATGCAAGAACCTCGGCCCACCACCATTCACCAAGGAGACAGTGGCAACACAAACTAAATGGCAGAACAAGCGGGCAGAGAAACAGGAACATGACATTTATAATACAAATAAATCAAAAGCGTAGGCATTTTAGAGTTCACATTGTTGGCCTAGTTTTTGCATTGGTCCGTGGGAGGAAACCACGAATCTAGCTAAATACAGTAAATACTGTGATTACCGCTTGGCAGTGCACCGTCTTCTTTTCTAGGTCAAACAAATGTGGAGTCAAACCTGTGTCAACGATTGTTATGTAAGAAATCCTGACAATATGGCATTGGAATTGAAGTTGACTTGCAGATGTTTGTGGGTCAAACTGAATAATTGTCAAATGGTCTGCAGATGGCACTGTTGCACAAAAAGACTGATGTTAAAGAGGATTTAATTGTGTCTTCGGAATGACCCGTTGTCTCATTAAAATGAAACGTTTTAAAATATTTTACAGTGGAAGTAGCCCATTTGCTTTAAGTTTTGGCAGTAAATGTATCTGTCAGTCATGTTTATTATGGTTATTATGCAATATTTTTGAGGGACAATAGTGTGCCCTGTGGCCTGGTGGGCGACTGGTTAGCAGTCGGCCTCACAGTGCAGAGGTGCGGAGTTCGATTCCGGCTCCGGCCTTCCTCCGTGGAGTTTGCATGTTCTCCCCGTACCTGCGTGGGTTTTCTCCGGGTACTCCGGTTTCCTCCCACATTCCAGAAACGTGCATGGCAGGTTAATGGAACACTCTAAATTGTCCCTAGGTATGAGTGTGAGCGCGAATGTTTGCATGTGCTCTATGATTGGCTGGCAACCTGTTCATGGCGTTCGTCGCCTACTGCCCGAAGACAGCTGGGATAGGCTCCAGCACGCCCCAGACCCTCGTGAGGATAATGATTCAGATAATGAATGGAATACTCAGTTGAGTGCTACCTTTGAAGAGCAGAAATCGCATTTAACAAAACACATGAAATCGTGCTATTACACAGGAATCTATGGAATGATGGCTCGACTGCTCTAGAGCGGTGATGGTCACGAGTAAACATCATCGGTAAATGGTGGGGTATGCTGTGTTTGTACGTGTGTGTTTGTGGTGAGACACCGGTTATGTGTTTCCCAAACTGTCTGTCTGACTGTGGGTGGTTACGCATTTGTGGCTCTGCATAGGTAATGTGTGTTGCCTGATGTGTCCGCAGTGCAGCGGTGTGTGTGTTTGGGTGTACTGTATACAACAGGTATCCGCCCTGCTGGTAAACACAGACTCAGGTATACAAAAATCCTTGAAATCCAAAATGTCTCGTGGTTTTTGGTAGTTCACGTAACTGTTGCTGTCACCAGTGGTGAATAGATCATTACTTTTGACTAATTACATGTAATAATAACACTATCAAAGGACATTTGAAAAACTTTGTTATTTCAGAAGTGTGTTTCAAACTGGTAGCTCTTCACATTACTCTTGAACTGGTAGCCAAGAAGTAGCTCTGATCTCCAATAGGTTGGTGACCCCTGGCGTCTGACAGTGTTTGGGCCAGCAGAGAAAGGCTTGAAAGCTCTGACATCTGCGTTTTCTTTGATTTTTAAAAAAATTGTATACAGAGATTTGCGAATCTGCAGCCAGTGGAAGTGATGTGGTTAATATAGTTGACTAAGTGCAGTATGCAGATGACATGGTATAGATTATTTTTCATTGCCCTGCATTTGACTTTCTCCCTGCCACAATCCTGAACAAAAACTAAACTCAGTTCATTGGTCCAAAAATGAACTAGTTCATTTATGCCAATTATGTTTTTAATGTTGTTTGGGTTGGAAATGACCAAGTTTTTTTTCTTTTTCTTTTTTTTAGTCACCTGCACATACCTCAGACATGGCCCCAGAATGAGCTCTTTCACAGAAGCATTCACAAAGCAAAAGTACACAACATCCAGTTGACATTCGCCATATATATATGAACTAGTTCATTGAAGTCGTTCACATCCAACACTGACTATTAGCCTATTACCAGTATAATACATAATAACTACACATAACCATCAAGGCTCAACAAACAATGTGATTGCTACTTGGCTGGGCTGATATCCACATGTGTTGCTGGGTTTTTTTTTTTGTTTTTTTTTAACAACATCCTAGTGAAAAAGTAACTTTGAGTTTTCAAGTCATGCCTTGTCACGGTTCCAAAGCCTTGCTCAGTGGCACAGTAACAGTCCTCTGAAAGTGAAGAGACTTATCATCAGAAACCATTCCCAATTTCCAAATTATTCCTGTGAACTTGCGACCCCGCAGCTCCTAAACCGCCATATGCACATCCTTTCAAAATTGGGGCCGAAAAATGGTTTTTAGTCACGTATTTGGAGGATGTGTGGAGAGAGGCTGAAAATGTCAACATTCTCCAAATACAATGAAAGAAGCAGGTTAGAATTTTAACCTTGCAATAAAAGCCTCAAAGTACATGTTTTCCTGCTTTTTTAGATTGTTTTGACTGATGAGTGAATAAAAGAGCAGCCCAGAGACCTGGAGAAAGAGTGTCTGTGCTTCACCACATGTCTCTTTGTGTAATGGTTGCATGCTTTCTGTGGACAAATGTAAGTCTGCGCAGCCTTGCTCCGAGGCTCTGGTCAGACAAGTGCATAACTGTGGTGGGACGCAAGCAAAGAGCCCCTAGACTACAGTGAGTCAACAATGTCTGCTTTCACTGCAAGGAGACGTGACAGGTCTTGTCTCATTTGGTCTCTGACTAGGACACCTAAGTGTGTGTTGCACGTCAGTGTCTGTTCTCTTGTATGCAATATTGTTTATAACTGCTCATTTAGCAACACTGGTCTCTCTTTTGGGCCTTAATATGTTTTATTTCAGGAACTTGTTAAGTTTTTATCATTGTTGGTAAAGTAGGCCTTTTGTGTTCATGAGGGCATAGCACACATTTCACGCATATTTGAAAATGGGTTCGCTTTGAATTTTCATTTTTGCATATCATTCATTCATTCATTCATTTTCCAAAATGCTTTATCCTCACTAAGGTCGAGGTTTTTGCATATCAAATTTCCTTTCCTATACTACCAAGAGAGATGACCTGGCAGTACTTGGAGGAGAGTACTTCTACAAATGATATGGGAAAGGTGCTTGATGAAACCTTTAAGCCCCCTTTAGCTCAAAAGATATTACTGTACTCCCAATTCTTTTCCGGCAACGCTTGGCGAGTCTGTTAGTTGCCCACGTGTCAAAATGAAGGCAATATTCTCTCTCTCTCTCTCTCTCTCTCTCTCTCTCTCTCTCTCTCTCTCTCTCTCTCTCTCTCTCTCTCTCACACACACACACACACACACACACACACACACACACACACACACACAGATGCTACATTATCCACACCATGGGTTTTGATGATTACCTGAATGCATTTTGAATTGAGGAAGATTTGACACTGTTATTGATGTGTCTGACGTGATTGGCATGATGGCACTCAGTAGTGTCATTATTACTCCACTGTCAACACTACATTTTGTTGCTCTAACACACTAGTGGGTGTGAAACATTTAACACTTTTGTAAACGTTACTGGAACACTGGGTAGTGGGGATGCATATCGACAAGATTAACACCCTATGGTGTTGAATTAGCGCCAGCAGATTTGCTGTGTATTGCTGGCTTACCAGTGTATGTCCCATTGTTGGCTTATTATTGATGATGGTTTATTTAGACATGCTGTTTTGTGGAGAAGTAATAAGAAATAATATTTCTTCCATTAAATCATATTAATTTATTCTCCCATTTCTTGTCTGCACTGCTTCCAGTCCATGTATGTAGAGAGAAAACCCACACAGGCAGAGGGAGAACATGCAAACTCCACACAGGAAGGCCGGAGCCATAATCAAACCCTGCATCTCTCCACTGTGAGGCGGACCTGCTAACAAGTCATCCACCGTGCTGCCATTATTATGAATTATTATTATTATTATAAAAACCTGATGTGCTAGGGGAAAATAAGTGCAGATACAGAATCAGTGCAAAAAAAAAAATATCATGTAATGTTTACTTGCATCTCTTATTATAAAGAATAGTAAGCATTTGTTGAACGGTCTAATAAGCATCTGGTGAGCATGATCTGTTTTTGCCTTATTCATGATGTTGTCATTTTATGAGAATGATGTTGATTCTGGACAGCTGCAGCTGATGTTCTTGGCACAGTTGCCTGTCTGTTATATTGTATTTTATACGGTATTGATAGTTCCTACAATTGTAACGTGACATGGTGGTATTAGGAAGTGGATTAAGTATACAAAGTCCTGACTGAAAGTACCCACTGAAAGGCTCGCCACTGATTTTGAGCAGTAGCGTAATGACCCAACTGCATTTCGTGTTTACCTTCATCAGAATTTGTTCACTTTACAGTTCTGCGGTCATCATCTTTAGGTTCTTCTTTGCCATCACTCTTACCCTTTTGTAGTGGCATCACAAAAAAGGTCCTCAAGATCTAGAACTCATCAGTCCAAAAAATTTCAGTATTATTTTAATACGAGACAGTGTTCCAGCAAAATTATCTAAATTATTTTAGCATAAAATTATGGCCTGTAATTGCTCAATTATTCTTGATTTCTATTTTGTGATCTGTTGGTATGAGAATGATTCAGGAGATAAAAACAAAGGATCAGCTAAAGGTTTCAATGCTCCCTTCGCATTTTAGAAACTTTGTCTTAAGTCATTGTTTTGAATAACAGAGAGAGAATGGGGCAGATGGGAGTTGGCGGGTGGTCAGAGAGGGAGAGAGAGGCTGACATTCAGAAATATCATTGGAGCAAAGACAATGAAATGGCACGCGTTCCTGAAAACAGAACTCTTCTACAATCATCATCCAAAATTGTGACAAAACTGGGTTAAGAAGAAATTGCGTAACTTTGTTTTCAATAGCCTAACAGCATGAGATCTCATGAAAGGCATTCAAAAAGATTTTATTTTCAGATTTGTGTTTAGCTAAAAGCCATCCAATATTTTTCACACAGTGTACTCAAATAGATCCAGAGGAAAGTGATTTTTCTTGCATTATTGGATTGTTTACACGCCACAATTTTATGCAGTGAAGAGAATGCCACACAGTCAAAACCGCTGCTTTCATGGACACAGGGCAGTGCACTTTATACAGTATAGCGACGTCTGGTCCAAGTTAAATGGCCCATGTCTGTCTGGCATAGTTGCTTCTGTGTTTTACTATATATATTTTTTCCATACCAAAGATGCACATTGTAGTGGTCTTTATTGAGACCCCTGTAATGACTTGGGGAAGAAAATTTTTTTTTAAAAAAAGTGACGGATAGGAATTCAGTAGAAATTCATTAAAAATGTAATCATATCATAATCAACCGGACCAGGAACAGGTTGGTGTTAAACTTTTTCTCAAGTCAAGTAGGACAAGTGAAAAAAACCCAAAACTGTTAGAGCGCCCAGCATTGTAAAGTATGACTCAAAAAATATTGATTCCAGACTGAAGCTGCTAGGGACAGGCATATTTTTCAGAGTCAAGACTAATTTAGACCCGAACATGCAAATCAGATATTTATACATGTATTCACATATGTTGAAGCTTTACAGAACATTGCAGACATGAGGTGTCGAGATGTATACTTAAAATTCATCGTCATTAAAATAATCTTTATTCAAGACAGGCATGATAAGGCACTTGCACTCAAAATCTGCACAAATTCGTGGTCAACTCAAGGCATGAAATATTGCTATGTTGGTGTTTTGTGATCAACAGCACTATGCTGTGCAATCGGGATGGACTTATTTGTGAAAGTCACTTTGTTATTTTGCTTTTCATTTTCTACAGTTGCTTGTCAGGTCGCAAATAAAGAACTTGCATCTATTGTATCTGCTTTCAAGCACTTCAATTCAAAACGGGCATTGACTACGATAGAACATTTCACCCAGAGCTTGTGCAAGCCCAGAAATGCTCAACAATCCATTTAAAGAGTGATGGCAATCTCATTTATGAACCATGCCATTTAAACAGGATTTCCTGTTAGCTCAAGGATGTGGCTCACATTTCTCTGATTTATAGAGTGCAAACTGTGGGTTAGCTGTGTACCAGTACATACTGTACTGTAGGTGAAATGGCCTTGAATTGCCAAGTGACATGTCCTACTATTTATATGCCATGCGGGAAGACGTATAATTTAGTGTATAGTGGTATTCAGTCTTTTAAATGTAGACGATGGAAAATGAATATACAGTAGATTAAATACAGTTTTTTTCCAAACTATTTCGCATTATTTTGGCTTACATGAAAGTCTTACATTTGTCTCATAAGTTTGCATGCACACTGTGGCAGTGTTTGGGAAATGTTGACAAATTTGGAGAATTGACTGATGATGTATCAGGGCGATATTCTTGATTGCTATGTTTCATTTTTGTAGTACTCTCAAATACCTTATAGTTTGAATCCCATTTAAAAAAGTGTTTTGCCTGCTCACCCCAAAGGATCACAAAAACTTTAAATAAATACTGTAAGTTAAAAAAAAAACTCAGTGAACTGTGGCTTGTTCATGTGGAATTTTGACCATTAACATCTGCAGTTTATCATTTTAGGATTTTATCATGTTGGATATATGCTATTTGTACCCCACCCCGAAGACGACAATGTATTACAGCTCCGTGGGAGAGGATAATTTCTTTATGAATGCTAGAACCGCAGTCCTGGTCCTGTCAGTTTTACTTGCTGATATTATTATAAGTGCTCTGTCAGCAATCATTTAACAGGAAATGCAAGTTTTTTGTTGTTGTTGTTTTTTTTATGCCATTCTTACCACTCCAATGTGGGGACTCGAAATGATTCAATATCATCGTGCGTCACTGGAAGCCAGATTGAGTGGGAGTCTGGCTCCAAGTTCTGTTAGGGAGACAGCAATCCACATGAATGGGAAACTAGTGACAGAGCACTGTTCCATGGATTTCCACTCACTTCTATTTTCGGGTAGGAGAACTTATGTTTTGAGTTAAGGGAGAAGCCACAGTATCCTGACGAACATCGTAAAAAAAATTTTGTAGTGTTTACTTGAGTTTTTAACTTTAATCTCAAGTGTCTGCAGATACGCGATGAAAGTGGTCATGGATACATAAAGAAACCTTTTTTACTGTTAGATTGTTAATACTTACAGTGTATGCCATAAATTGTTTACACAGTCCTTCCTCTAAAATATATTCTAAAATCTATTCAAAAGCCAGTCTCCTTAGTTGTCATTTTCAGTGAGTGGTACATCCGTGTCAGTTCCACTCACTCACTCACTTACTCACGCACTCATTCACTTAAAAGAAAAGCTGACATTAAGTCATGAAAAAACTGGCTCATCCACCGAAATTGGGGGAAGTATAAAATAAGAAAACAATAAGAATTGACAAAAATACAGGGGACGAATGTGTCCATGACGCAAGTTCAAAATGTGGACAAAACAAGACCAAGTCAAAAGAAATGATGTTATTTTGAGGAACCGCCCCCAGGTCCAGACACATTCAGCCACATTACTGTTACCTAACTTAAGACCTTTCCTGAATGATTCATTGAGGAAGACCAAAAAAAAAGTTGTTTTAAAGATTATGTAACCTAAATTAATCACAGAATAGATAATAGTCTCATAAAATTAAAACATAGCGGTAACTGGCACTGTGGAAGTTAGTTAGCTAGTTACGGTAGTTACTTTAGTCAGTTTACATAGTTTCAAGAGAAGAAAGAAGTGTAAACTAAACTACAAATTGTGTCGGATAACCACTACCAAGTTTCATCAGGTGATATAATGTTAGTGGAGAAAAAAAAGTATCAACACAGTGTGTGAGATGTTTAGATATTCAAATCAGATTAGAGACAACGAACTAAAAGAAAGAGTAAGAAGACTGGGAAAAAGAAATTTAATTTGTTTTCCAACAGATGTCTCTGTTGCCAATTTTCACGCTTCTTGTTCCTGACCCTTTATCTCACACCTCACAGTAAATGTTTGTTAAAATGAAGAAAAAACAGGAGGCAGATGAAGACAGAAGATCCCTTCACACAAGTTGCGTGGAATTCTGCTAAATGATCCCTCGTGCCTAAGCAGATGTTTCTAATTTATTCCTCTCTTGACATCCTCTACCCACTCACATCCATGCCAACACAATCCATAATTGTGTGAAGCTTTGCTGACTTCAGGTTCAGGAGAGAAAAGTGTTTCTTAAACTTTCTGTGTAGATTCTCAGTCATCCAGGTTAAGTAAAGGAGCTCCTGGGTAGCTTCTTTTCCTGCCGGTTGTGCAAAATTAAACTGTGGGAAGGTTTTTATTTTCTGGAGCTGGATTTGATACCACTGCCTGGAACACAGTAAAGACTGCAATTGTAAAGACAAGAAAAAAGGGCACACCAACGGTAATGCCGAGAATCAAAATAATCAGAATCACCTTTTTTGGCCAAGTACCGGTATGTTGAAACATACAAGGAAGTTGTCTCCGTTAGTTGTGGCTGCTCGAGTACTACAGCAATCTAGTCACTATGACAAAGCATACATTTAAGACATAAACACAGTACAGAGACTCATTAAAACAGAGTCCAGTAATGCAGTAATACCGAAACAACAACAAATGTGCAAATGATGCAGAGTGACCAACTGCAATGAAGAATAAAGCAAATAACAACAGAGATGGGCAAAATTGGCAGTATGATCCACCACTGCTCAGATGAAACAATCCTAAATCGTGTCAACCATCTCCGGGTGGAGGCACCACTCACCTGGAGGAGGACCCTGTTGGGAGAGAGACTCCGCAAGTTGGATCAGATCCCCTGGCAGATGTATGGCCTGTAGACTGGCTAAATGGGGGGCAGCCCACCAGAGAAGGTGCTGGGAGACTTGTAAAAGCCAGATGGACTTCATACCGTCCTGCTGGTTTCTGTGGAAAACAGTTGCAGTGCTGTCCGGAAGCACAAGCACATGCCTCCCTTTCAGGTGAAAGTGCATGAGAGCCAGGTGCACTGCACACCGCCACAGCATTGCTATGATTGGCCCTGTCCCACACAGACAGCTATCCTCCGTTGCCAATCAGCACCCCACCCTGCTAGACTGGCATCTGCGGTGACTGCCTCGCAGTGGCTCAAGGTTCAATCGACTCTCATGCTTAACTGGGCCACATGAGAAAGCAGAAGTATCCTGAACCATCTGAGCCTGTGACGGTGTGTAGATTAGTCTGTTGTCTAGGTCCTGCAACACCTTCATGTCCCCACATTTTATCGGTGCAAGAGCAGCTTTCAGAAATCGGGTGAAGACCCTTGTGGCGAGGAACAGCCTGAAAGGGAGCACACAGAACTGCCAGTGATGGCCTCTGTAGGCAAAATGGATAAACGGTCTGTGTAGAAGTGTAAGAGGAGGCGTCCTTTCGATCGATGGATGTGAACCGCTCCCTCTGACTGTTGTTAGCATGTGGCGTGGTAATACCATCAGATGATCTTTGAGTCCCCTCAGGTCCAGTATCGGTCTGACTCATCTCTATTGTTGACGAGGTCGATGACTGAGTTTTCGTCTGCAAACTTTGGGAGTTTGACAGATGAGTTGAGGCGCAGTACTCTGTATGAGGAAATAAGAGCAGCAGAGAGAGGATACAGCATTGTGCGGTGATGATGCTGATGGGGTGTGTAATTGTGGTAGTTTCCCTCAGCCTCACCTGCTGTGGCCTGACTTCTGGAGGAGGTTGGAGTGAGGAGTTCTGGGATGATGGCATTGAACACTATGGACCCCCATAGTTGATTAGGATTTGTTTTCTATAGTTCATGTTAATGTTGGAAAAAAATACTGAAATGATTTATGCTGGTCTCACTTCTTTTTTTTTACATCATAAAAACCCGGCATTTTATTAGTTCTGTGTAGAAATTTTACATCCACTGTGCACACATTATTGTCTAACAGCTGTGACCTTAAGTAAAATTATACTTAGATAGCTTACCTTATTTGTAGTGTCTCTCTATGTAGGGGCCCCTTTCACCTGTTGTTGTTGTTATTGAGATACGTGAGTGATATTAGCTCATAGTAAACATGAGCATGTAAGGTTGTTTCAAATCTATTCTTGGCACAGTACCTGAGAATGTTTTCTACTTGTGAGTGAGCATCTTAGCAGGTACCAAGCCAGGAAAGGTGGTAAATACCTTTGGCCTGATATCACTGACAGAGTAATGTGAGGTGAGGCTACAGTCCAGATACAGGAATTAAACGGGTCTGGAACACCCAAATAGTCAACAAATACTGTTGCGTATGATGTGCCCAACACACTAGAGCTCCTGTGTCAAAATCCAGTTTCAGTTTACAAATTAATGAGGCATTAAATTCAGCAACGGTGACGTTGAGCTCCGAATTTAAGACCCTTTTTAACAATTGAGACATAGCAAAAACAGAACAAATATTTTGTTCACTTTCTTCATTGCTTTTTGGCGCCTTCCTTGTCTTTTCTGTTGCTAAATTTGTCTTCCCTAGCTAGAATGTATACGAAGCCAAAATGACTCCATTATTTTGACTAGACTGTTTTTCCTCCCAGGAACAGAGGCCAGAGGAAGTGTAGATGACCTAGACTGATTAACCACACCACACCACCACAGGCTGGCTCAAGCCTTGCCACCCCCGCAGCCAACCTCTGCATCAAGCGTCTGCCAACCCCACGTTACTACTACTACTTGCCATGACCACAAAAAGCCCAGCTTTTACCAGCCTCCCACTAGCTCTGCGCTGGGCCGTCTTTCGCTCCCTGCTGCTGTAAACAGTCTGTCGCTGAGCCATCCGCTGACACCAACCTTATTTTGGTTATATTTACAGACCAGACGTGCACCGGGTTGTTTACATTGTCCCCTCTTTGGCCTGTACCTGCAGTTTGCACACTTCTTGGTCTTGCTTGTGCACAACTCTATACCAATTTATTTTTTATTTTTTTAACTTAACCTGACGTTCTCTGGGAATGATCAGATTGGATCTGCTGTGAGGTTTGTTCTGGATGCAGCAGTTGTGATAAAGTTTAGCTTCCCTTAAATTGGAAAGTCGAAAAACAAACCAAAAAAAAAAAAACTAAGACATCACCTGTACACACTGTAAGTATTCAAAGTCTTTGTCAATACTTTGTTAATCCACCCTTGGCAGTAATGACAGCCTCAAGTCTTTTTGAATATAATTCCATAAGCTCGGCACACCAACTGTAGCTTTGGTCAGTTTTGCCCATTCCTCTTTGCAGGACCTCTCAAACTGCATCAGGTTGGATGTGATGCATCAGTGCACAGCCATTTTCAGATCTCTATAGAGATGTTTAATCGGATTCAAGTCTGGCCTTAGGTTGGGCCACTCAAGGACATTCATAGATTTGCCATAAAGCCAATCCGCTGTTGTCTTGGCTCTGTGCTTAGGGTCATTGTCCTGTTGAAAGTTAAACCTTCGCCCCAGTCTGAGGTCCTGAACACTCTGGAGCAGGTTTTTATCCGGGATGTCTCTGTACATTGTTGCATTCATCTTTCCCTCAATCCTGGCTTGTCTCTCAATTCCTACCATTGAAAAACATCCCCACCATACCTGACCGTAGGGATAGTATTGGTCAGGTGTTATGCAGTGCCTCGTTTCTGTCACGTTTTGCGGGGTGGTAGTTGGAGGACCCCAAAAAGCAGGGAGGCAGGGAGGAGCAGGGTGGATTGACCAAAATGTATTTAACAAAATGTAAACAGGAATACATTGGAGAAACTAACTCAAAAAACTCATTCAAATAAATTCCAGAAATCAAAGTAGCAAAAACCTAAGACAGAAAACAAAACATGACATGTGCACAGAGACACACAATGATCCGACACTGACTGTTAGGGCAGGGAGTCCTTTTAACCACACACTAATGAAACAATGACCAACAGGTGTGCCACTGCAGGAGGAGCCCGACAGTGCCACCTGTTGGTCACAAACAGAACCACCCTAACAGTTTCCTCCATACATGACATCTGGCATTCACTCCAAGAGTTCAATCTTTATCTTATCATAGATTTTTCTTTCTCATGGTCTGAAAGTCATTTAGGTGTCTTTTGTCAGACTCCAGGCGGGCAGCCATGTGCTTTTTACAAAGGAATGGCTTCCGTCTGGCCGCTCTACGATATAGGCCTAATGGTGGAGTGCTGTAGAAATTCTTGTCTTTCTGGAAGGTTCTCCTCTCCTCTGCTATGCATACCATTTATGATTCATTATGAAACATCACAACTCATTATGAGCTTTTGCACAGGCATGGCAATTAGATCAACAATATTTTTCCCTCGGGGCAACACTTGTGATTAACATGTCTGCCTCACAGTAGAAAGCCTCTGATATTGAGTTTAAATCTTGGTTCAAGCTTCCCTCGCCTGTGCTGATATCATGTACTCCCTTTCTAAGGGTACTCTGGCTTCCTCCCACTTACCCAAAATGTGCATTTTAAGTGAATTCAAAGCACGATATTGCCCACTGACATCTATATTTCTTTTTTGTCTTTAACTCGCCGTCAACTGACTGCAGTCCAGTTCAGGAGTACATCGCCTCTCATCCAAAAATCAGCTTGAATGGTCTCCAGGTGACCGGCGACCATTGTTAGTACAATGGGTATAGAAATTAGATAAATCCATGTTTTAACTGATTAACATTAAACATTCCACTTGTTGTTTGTCAGGACACACGGAGCACAATCCGTGAGTTCCACCAAAATTCAGGTAAGAATTTTGGTGGAATGAAGCTTTTGGACAGAGAGTCATCAAGAACTTGAATTTGGATGTAAATTACTCAACAGAGCATCTCGCAATGGAGTCACCTTTCTGTTTTACCAATAAAATATTTATTAGGGAAAAAAAATGCCATTTTGTCCTCTACACATGAAATCTATTTCATTGCTGTGCACAGGGAGTCCTTTTGAGAAAACGTTATCACATGGCCCTTGAATGTGCTCTTTTGCCAAGCACTGGCGAGATACTTTGCAGTTTTGCTTAGAGAAAAAAAAAACTCCTTGTGCATAACAATTCAACAATATGTCAATTATTAAAAAAAAGAAAGAAAGAAAGAAAAGAAAGAGAACAAGTCAAGACACAGTCAGTGTTCCCCTGTGTCATTTGACAAAAGTTGTATTGTAAACACTGCAGCATGTTTTACAGGCACACACGTGCATGCCTGAGGTGTTTCGGACCATTTGCTGGTCGCAACAACGGTCGACATCCTGTATCACAACCTGACGGACTGAGACATAACACAACATTTGTGTGAAGCATGGACATTATTTTTGTTTAGGTCCGTTTGACAGCTACATTAACCTGGAAGACAAAATAAACTTTGGGGACAGCTGATGTGATTTTAATGTTGCCATATTCTAGCCATCTTAAATGAGCACTTGGGCTGAACAATGGCACCCATACGTATGTAAAAATGATGTCTGTGTCTGCCTTAAAATTCACGCCCCTGAAAGTCTCTGTCGTGATTTAAGTTTTTAGTTGGGAGGAGACTACTTGACTGACACATCAGACCGAAATCGTCAACGATGTAAGGAGCAGCGTGTCATGGACGCCCACCTTTCAGACACATAAATTGTAATGCCGATTGATCGCTGTTTTTGGAAATTATTAGCAATGCATTTACAATGATTTTGAATGGATACATTTTGTCCAGCTCCTTCTCTGACTCCCACCAAGACATGGGAAGAGTGAGGGGCGTGGTTTTATTGCTAGCTAGGAAGGGTGTTTTGAGAGTAGTTGTTTAGTAGTTACTGATTCCTCCAAAACATATTGATAACATTTACATTAACTTGCATTTTCACTTTCCTGATTTAAAAGAAAAGGGGGGGAAAAAATTGAGCTTGTTAGTAAAAAATTTAAAAACCCAGCCGGAAGAGCCCTTTAACTGTCAAAATATCTGACCATTTGATTTCAAACAACCATTTTTTTTTAGTCAGTCATCAACAACATACTGTATACAACATACAGTTTGGAATCCAGCATCAGGGCCTAATGAATAAAAACTCCAGAGTCTGCTGGAGAACATAACATGATGACTAATTTTCTGAATAATTATCTCATATTTGCACGCCCAGACATAGGATCAGGTAGTGGTCGGCCCCCGTGCCAAACTTTCCATGTTTCTCTCTGCGGCTATGATGCTGCTTGCTTTAGTCCCAGCAAAGACTGTCATACTTTCCTGCACAGCTGTTGTGCTGTACTTTTCCCTTGTGTCTCGACCAGAGTGACCAAAATTGTGCAATGGGAGGACACATTTCAGTCGACCACGAGGAGGACTACACATTTTTGCCCTTTTTCAACATACGTGGGGGCTATTAATATGTCCTGTGACTGCATTAATTTTCACGGTCCACAAAGGAGACATGGCATGCATATTTGTTGAAGTGTTGAAGTTTTATGATCAGACAAAACTGAGTGCATTGTTTACACATTACATCGTAGAAAGGGTTCTGTCAGTCGTCATTTGTACCTGTGGGTAAAAAACAATTTCTGTATTACATTAAATGTAATACAGAAATACAATCGCTGTCAACTAAGATGCACAGGACATTAGTTTTGTCAGGCTACAACAAAGTTTGCAGTCTTTGGACACAGTGGCAGAGTGAAGAACACATGTCCTTCTTTGACCTTGCTGTCCAATAGGATGACATGCATTTGCAATTAAAGCAATGTACACTCAAAGGGCTCGCTGGACCCCAAGACTGAAAGTGTACATGCTTAAAGGAAGAATACCTTCACTGGTTATGTTTGTGCTGTTGTATTTTCCATTTTTAACATTTGTGACAATGTATCATGATGATTTTAAGGTTTCTACTTCTACATTTCCCAAACTGGCTTAGATGACTTATTAATGAACTTTGTCCTCTATTCGCCTTGTGTCAGCAGTTTTTAAACTAATACTTGGAAAGTCATGTGACATTAGGAATCCCACAGAAAAACACACGTTCACAATTTTCTTTGGATTGAAAAATGATCAATATGTCATGTTGCAAGGTGGTGGTGGACCCCAAAAAGCAGGCAGGAGGGAGGAGCAGGGTGAACTTGACGAATTGTATTTAATAAAACACAGAGAAAACTGAATCCAAAACAAACAAAGTGCAAACAACCAAAACGAATCCAAAGTAGCAAAACAAAACCATGACTGTGGCAAAAAACTAACAGGAACAGAACCATGACAGAAACAAACATGACAATTGCAAGCAAACAAAGAATGACCCGACACTGAGTGGTTGTGCCGGGAGTCCTTTTAAACAATTACATAACGACATAATGACCAACAGGTGTGCAGCTGCAGGGAGAGCCCTACAGTGCCACCTGTTGGTCACAAACCGAAACATGACACAATACCATTATGCTACAACTGTGCACTCAGAGTGGTTACCGGACAAATGTGAAAGTTTGTTCAGCCTTACATGAAGACATGTCACCCAATGGCGACTGAGGTCATCATATACTGACTTCGACAGTTTGTGAATGATGCTTTAGCCGCACTTTAAATTGTATAAGTTGCACATACTGTGTGGTCAGACGTGGTGATGTGTGAGATGTGGGCAAAAGAGCTGGGAGAAGGACTCGGAGAGGAGGCAGTGAGTGAAAGTGGGAGGAGTTTTTCGGGGTGGGGGACCGTCATCCCATTGAGGGGAGTAGCTTTGGTGTTTTGATTGAAATCTAGCAGATGTGGGACAGAGGAGAGGGGTGTGTACGCATGAGAAAAAGAAATATTTCCACCCACCTAACAAGGAGACACACTCATAAACAGGCAGGCAGACAGAATGAGAGTCAGAAAGACACAAGCTCTCGGGGCAGCAGCAGTTCAAACCTATGCAAACTTTCACTGAGAGCTGATGTTTTATTAAAGAGGAGGACAAGTCACACAGACGCACTCCCAACACTTGCTCGCTAAAAAACACTGAGCCATTCAGACACATTAGCAAAGACAGGCTTCGGGAGAAATATTGGCATCCAAGAGAGAGTAGAGGTCCATCAAGGACACACAGTGAATTCTTTATCCTGACTCGGACACACACGTGTGCTGAAGGTGTGCTACCTTAGTGTGAGGAGCAGGACTGTTCCAGCCCAACAAGTGGCGCATCAGAGAGGAAGCAGCAAGCGAGTGGATGGATGCCTTCTGCCGACTCAGTGGCCTGGACCCTCTGTGGGTGAGTCTCAACAGGCCTTTTGTGTTTTCTCTCTCTCCCCCCGTACGCTCTCTCTCTCGCTTCCCCTCGTTCTCTCTCTGCTATTGGTCGTGTAGATTAATGTCCAACTTTGTGACTCTCATCTTGAATGTTGGGTGTTCCGAGGCCTTTCTGCCCTCACAGAATCAAATATGTTGTCAATTAGTCTCGCTTCTTGTAGTCCATGAGAGGATTTCACAGACTGTTTTGCACATTACGTGTGGCAGGGGAATAGCTCCACATGTCGCTGCCTGCCGGAATCTAAATGTAAGAGGCGGAGATGTTCACTTCCTATACATTGTAGATATCTGTATTTTATATCTCAACTAAAAACAATGTCTGCGATTAAGCAGGAATGTTCACGGTCAGAACTTGCCTCTTTTTACTTCTCTTTCATCACGCCCCCTCGATGTTTCTGGTTCTCATTACAGCACTTTCTGTTTTTTGCTCCTGCAAGCATTTAAACAACCATCAGTTGTGAAAATGAAAGTAAAGCACGACTGGTTTCACATTAAAA